ACTATGAAAATCAAGCTAAATAGAAGCAAATTTGAACAAATACCAGTACAAAAGATATAACAACGAGAATAAAAATAGCTAATAGTAATAATATAAGGCTTAAGAAAAGATGCATGCAGCTGGAATGAAACCAAGAAGACGAATGATAAACTCTTTTCCGTTCAGCCAACAGTTGCCAAAAACAAAATAACAATAAAGCAACCCTTGGTTCGTCCCTATTTGAAATATACTAGCCCTGTTGCTATAGCGACCGCCACGCGCCAGACACCGTGGCGGGAGGTGTTCTTACCGTAGACAGACAGTACCATCTTCATGCTTGTCAACAATCCCGTTTTTCACCAGTATGGTAATTCTGACAATTTTCTTCATTGCTTGACTGTTCTCATTAACTTTCTTAAAATTCATTGTTAATGAAGTTTAAAAACAATTATGTGAAAAATTCAAAATCGCAGAGTTATATAGCAGGTTGTTTACTGAAAATTAATAACGGGTACACTGACACTCATGGGCAGCATTTTCTTGAAGGAGTAAACAAGTGCAGTTGTGACTTACTAAATTCGAGTCGTATTCCAAACAAATGTCATTTACCAAGTAAACATTTTCCTGTCCAAGGTATTTCAAAGCAGACATGTACTGAAGTACTACTGTATATTCAAATTTTTAGAAACCTGCTAAATTTGAAAACGTTAAGTTTTTGAATAACTTTGTGCAAGCAATAACATGTAAATCTGCATACGGTGAAATGACACTTGATTACCAAAACAACCACCTGTTCCCATTCTTAAAACATGGCTGTGAATATTTGAAATAGTTATTTAAGAAATATTCAGTATTCTGGAGTTGTTTCATATATGTTGATTTTCCTCAAGTCTATAAACCATTTAAACTTCTGGACTCGCATTTAAATTATGCTTTGAGACATCTCTAACATGATGGGAGCAAATCAGAAGAGAAACATACCATTATAAAATTTGAAATTAGGCAAAAAAAAAGCAGGGTTACTCTGGCAAAGATTTTGAATAAAACTATTGATGGGATTTGTATGGTCCTTAATTTCAGCCAAAATCAGCAAAAAGTCCATAATTTTCTTATTGAAATTTTTGTTTTTTATATGACTGTCATTTTTAGTGTGAATTAATATTTGCAGGAATATTTTTTGGTAAGAATTCTTTAGTACTATTAAATATATTGGATATTTGAGTTTTAGACATGAGGCGCTGCTTCGATTGAAACATAAGCATTTTGAAATTATTTCTTTTTTGGGAATGAAGAGTTCATAAAATATTATATCAAAAAGCTTTTCCCTTTTTTCAAACATGGGTTCTTGTATGTTAAACTTGGCGACTTCAGAATCCGTTTGTATACAAAACTATTTTTTTTTCTAATTATAATTTTTTATAGAGATTTGCAAATTTTTGAAACTTTTTTTTTACAAATTTAATAACATTGATAAATATCATAAAAATAATGATAATGTGTTAAAATTATGTTTAAGAAATCGCATGAAAATAAAACATATTTTTCTTCTCCTGTTTTGTTTTAAAGTGAGGGTATTTTTCCATTTTAGTGATTTAAAGATATTTTGATATTGAAAAATGAATAAAATAATAAATGCTATGAATATAAAGCATAGTTTCCAGAACACTTTTGAGAATAAAACAAAAAAGCTTCTGTAATCATTTTAAAATTAATTTAATTTGTCTTTTATATTTTTTCATGATAAAGAGTTTTTTCCCATCTAATTGTGTCAGAACATTGAAATGTGTATCAGATTTCTCTTGAGAATTCACTTTGCGCTTAACTTTTCTGAATTTCCTCGCCTCCCTCAAAAGTCATCTAACTTTTTGCTTTTACAAAGTTAGTAGGGATTTTAGACCTAGCATCTCGGAAGGTTCAGAAGGATTTCAAGGCAAGATTCCAGAAAAATGTTAAGAAATGAAAAATGTCTTCATGTTATTAACATGTAATGGATGTGTTTCATAGGAAATTTGTGATGAATTTTATAGCTTTTTAAGTATTTTTGGAAGAATAGTGAAAACAAAATTATTTGACTCTGCTCCTTTTCATCCTTGAAGTTTTTCTCTTAACATGTTTATTTTCTTATCTTTCTACTAGTCACAAACATTTAAGCAAGTAGAGATACTGAAAACCGACAATTTATTAAAAAAAATATCTTGTGTGTCTCAGTGCGTGTCCTAAATTCTAAAATTTTTGCCATACCTAGATTTTGTTGCTCGGTGCTTCACTAAATTTTAAAACTTCTGCCACATTGGTTCTGGCAGTGGCCTTGACCGTCTATCATTTCATAATTATTCTCAGTATTCATATTATTAAAGAAATAATATTGAAAGTGTTTTGTATACTTTCTAAGTACAAGCAGTTCTGTATAATAACAGAAGATTTTTAATTAAAAAAATATAAAATTAAAAGAAAACTAATTGAAGAAGAATTGATTTTATAAAAGAGAGAGAGTTATTCTTCAGAGGCTTTAGAGAAAACATTGACAAATTAAGATATGAAGCAGAGAGTAGTGGGAACATTGACTTATTTATTGAAACAAATAAATGTAGAAAAAAACCTAAAGAAAAGGAAATTAATATAAATTAGCTAAAACGTTTAGAAAATTTTCAAATAGAAAAGACCCATTAAGTATTTTGTTTGTTGTTGCTAAAAAATATACATGTTTCATAACTTTTAATGTATAATTATATGAGTATGGTGCTTCAGCAGCCTATTGGCTCTTCATATTAAATACTGCATATTAACTGAGTTACAACTCCAGCAAATCTGCATGAAGCTATTACACTAGCTGGATTAAACAGAGTGCAACTAAGTTTCAACATATCAACGTCAGACGCTCCTGTCTTTTCTGAACAGTGGCTGTCTGTGTCTATGTAAGCACCTGGAGGCACCAGTCAAGCTTCTGTTATGAGTCATGATGATTACCATTTTACTTCTTGATTTAACTTATGCTAGACATAAAATCTGCATAAACATTTGGACTGAGCAAATACATGATAAAATGAAATTTAAAAGAAATCTTCTTTAAAATATATGGGGGTGTTATAAGTGTAAAATATATAAATTTTTCTAGAAATTTTATAATTTAATACTTATTACTTAAAAAATTAGGAAGTTTATTATATTCTTGAATTTGTTTTATAATTATTTTAAATATTAAGTTTAATAATAATGCATCCTACTTGCAGATCTTATTTTATTGTTACAAATTACAAAAGTGATATTAAAATAGTGAAATTTAGGTGTAGATAATTGCTTTAGTTTATTCAGTTCATATTTGCTTATAGAACCATAATTTTTTTCATTGATGGTCATAAAAAGTACTCAATTTCCATGTGCAGAAATGCGTGTGAACCCTTATTGACTCCAAAGGTTATCAGAAACAAATTCATAGTAAAAAAAAAAAAAAAAAAAACTCCTCCCCCCTTCCCAGAAATGGGAAGAGGATGAATATTTTATTAAAAAAGTAATAGAAGAAACAAAGCAAAAACGAAGGTCGTTCCATCTTTTGATGAAAATAAAATAATGAAATTGGGAAAAATAAGATATTGGAATTTTTAAATTATTAGGAGAATTAAATTGAAATTAATGACATCAAATGAATGTAATGTTAGCATGCCATTATATTTTCACATGTTATTAATCTGTCAGTATAAGAAAGTTTTAGTACTAAGTTTTTAAAACATAATAATACATGTTAGGTAATTAATTTACAAATCCGTAAGTTTTATAATATCATATTAATAAAAAATTTAAAGATTATATATACACACACACACCTAAAAACAGTTTTGTGTGTGGTAGGCTTTGAAACATGGAATGGTATATAATATGGCATTTTGCACTGCCAGTTCCTTCTTGTCCACTTAAATCAGCTTCCAAACTTCAAAAGAAGTATCTGAATCCAAATCATTTCTATTACCTGATAAAAGATTTTTGCCTTCAGAATCAGATACCTTTTTTTTTTTTTTTTTAATGTGCTTTAGCTTTCTCTTAGATGCTAATTCTAGCTGTGTTGTATCAAAATAGAGCAATAAAAATTCCCTGGGGGGGGAGATGCCAATTTCACCCTTCTTATGCAGAAAATTATTTAGTACTCCTACTGCTATCTGTGCCAAATAAAATTAACCAATTGCGAGTTCAATTCATTCGTATCACTAAAAAGCATTGGATTATTTTGAAGAATGCGCTCACTTTGTCTCTGTGTGTGTTGGGAAAAAATCTGCCTCATGAGTGAGACTCGTTTATTACTATTGTTACTATTTACAAACTTGTAGGCGAGCCTTGTTCGTTTTTGCCCACTGCAGTGTGTAACTGGAATACATAATAAGGTTAATAATTCCATTTCATCAAAAGGTTAATAATTCCATTCCAATTCTTTCAGAATTCTAATGTCTTAGTTTTTCAAATTTTTTGTTATTTAAAGTCAATAAATAGTGCTATGTTCATTTATATATAAAATGTATACTTCTGTTTTTTTCGCAAACATGTCTCTGTACTTGAAGAACAGAGATCTGTGAATGGTTGTTCTCAGAATTGATAGAGTTTTATTCAAAACCTATGTTAAATTTCTTTTTCTTCCTTTCTTTTTTACCTAATTTTAAACATAGAACCCCTTGGAGCATCAAGTAAGAATGTTTGTAGATTAAAAACAGCAGAAAAAGTGATAAGCAAAAATTTTTACCTGAATTTGTATGTTTACCATTTGGTAAAAAAACTTTACTATTTGTGTGAACAAAATTTAACTTCCAATAAAACTATATATAGCCTTTGTGGGAATAAAACATTATCCTAGTATAATTTATCAAGGATTTGATTCCTGTTGAATAAGTGCATGGTGATTTTCCCCTGTGTTATATAAATGAAAGTCATTTTCTGTTACAAAGGTTTTCAGGAAAACGTAATATTTTTTTGTTAAAATAAGCTGTCTGTATTATTGAAGTAAAATTTTATAGTATTTAAATAACTCTGCTTTCCAGGATCTTTTAAGTCGGGAGAATATCTTGCAGTTTTCTGGATTCTTACCATGTCAAAAAGATTTTGTTGCTAGTAGAAATGCATTGCTTAAAAGGTATTTTATTCCTATTAATTATATTTACAAATTTACAGTAATGTGATGTTAATTTTTTTTTTTAACATGAATGTTTACTATTTAAGATAATGTAATCAGAAGGGATATAGAGATGCAAAATAACAGACAGATAAAATTAAATCACACTGTAAATAAATTTTAAATAAACAAAGGTTTTGTTTTCAATAAAGTCTAGTATATAATTCTAGGATACATCAAAGATAAATTTTAAAATATTAATTTTTTTAGGGCATTGAAAAATAATATAATCAAGCATTAAAGTAGCTTCAGTTAAATTATATAAATAAATCTACTATTTCCAAAGACAAAGCAAAAGTGATAATCATTAAAAAAAATATAAATGAAAAAAAAATTAAATGAACCAGTATGTTCCACAAAAGTAAATTAGGTTGAACCAAAAAGGATGGTAATAAGTTACCTTCTTTTTCACTTCAACTTAATTTACTTTTGTGGAAATAAATTGGTTTTGTTTTCATTTATATTTTTCTTGCATAAATTTCATGTTTTAATAATTACCATTTTCCCCTTAGTTTTTGTAGATTTACCATTTTCAATAAATAATAAACAAATTATTGTAATGTAAATGAACATAGCCAATATTTTTGTATGTGTTACTTAACTGTTTGGTGAGATAAATTGGCTGTAGCATTAAATTTCATTACCTTTTGAATTTAAAGTTAATTTAATTAGTAGGAAATATATATTATCCATATGTGTAAGTTATTTATATATTTTTATTCCTAGCTTAAATATTTCACAACTTCAATCAATCTGTCGAGCATTCTTTCTTAAAAGAAGAAGTAATAGAAACAAAATGATAAAAAGCATTCTAGAATTTCTTTGTTTACCTTCGCAGTCACTTATGCTTGAAAGTAAGTTTTTTTAGTTATATATTTTTTATGTTTATATCAGTTTGAATGTGTATAGTTGAAATGCTATCTACTTTACATTTGCAGGTTACTTTGGTTAATAATGTGATGCTTCTTTATTATAATGTGGGTGATGATGGAAGGATTAAGCTCATATTATTAGGCCATCCATGTTGTAATAAGTGTGAAGGGTTTAATGAGGGAAAAAAAAATCAAATATTTACATAGAATGAAGAAATTGTATACTTGCGTATTCAATTTCTATTCAGAAATAATTTGTGCTTGTGTTTCCATCAGATTATGTAAGCAGCAACAAAACAGAGGTCTGCAAAATACAATATTATTATACAGGAAGTAAATATAAATGATCATGCATTCACATGTAAATCAAAATCATGTTATGTATGTGTTTTTTTATAAAATTGAACTTCAGATCATGCACTGTTATATGATTGCAGTAGAATCCTCGTTGTGAGTTTCAAGCCATAGCCTATGATGTCTGTTTGAAAAATTCTGTTTCTCGCCTTGCTTTTAACATTGTATTATTATTTTTGATTTCACTGGTGGCTAAGATTCCCGTCGCAATTTTATTTCTTATCAATCTAAACATCTTATTTCAGCTTATTTTATTGCTTTAAAAGCATGCAGTTGTTCCAACATCGCATTATCCCTCTCGCTGCGCATCCCGCGATTTCCACGGAAGAATCATATTACAAGATTATATTTTAGAATCATATTACAAGTGGATATGGTGTTGTACAAGACGTTGTAATGATTGGAATTTTTAGCGTGTAAGCAGACAACATATGAAGGCAAAACGTTTTAAAAGTAAATCGAGAGTAAAAACGTTTTAAAAGTAAAATTGAAAAAAATTTTCAATGGTTTAAAATGACAAAATATGAGAAGCACATCAGACATTATTTTTTGTACATGTTTCATAGAAGCAATACTGCAGCTCCATGACAAAACACTCATCAGTTGTATGGAGAGGATGCAGTCTATGATGGCTCATGTCATCACTGGTTTTGGAAATTTATTGATTGAGACGGATGCTGTTAATATCATTTACATTCTGGATGTCCATCAGTGGTTTCTGAGCAGATTCTAACTACGCCATGTTGAATGCTTTCTTGTGCAGCTGTTGAGAAATTAGTGGAAATGCGACTTGTTCTCAAAACAGCAGTTTAAAGATGAATGCACACACTCAGTTTCATAACGAAGCTGGATCAATCAGTTCCACGTCAGCTGTGTAGAAAGCAACAACAATGAAAAGCAGTCTTTCTTTGAATATTTGTACCAGAAATGAAACATTTTTGGATTGAATTTTGGCATGATGATGAGAAATGGGCACTATACCATATTTTCAAACATCCAAAGGCTGATTGTAGCATAGAAGAGCCTGCTCTACCCACACCAAAGACTTGACTGCATTCTGAAAAGATTTTGTTAAACGTGTGGTGGGAAATGAAAGGAATAACCTATTGAGAGTAATTCTCGTGTAACCAAATCTTTAATGCTGACATGTACTGCCAGCAGTTGGACAAAATGAGGCAAAAACTGACGCTTGTTAGACGCTAGCCATCATGCTGCAGTAATTACACACACACACAAAAAAAAGAACCACTCAATTTTAGTTGGTAACTTTTACATTATCTGCAGATTAGGCTGATTTGAAATACCATCTTTTTTTATCATTATAAAATTCCCCTGCTCTTCAAACCTTGCATATGCACATGATGTGAAAAATAATAAAAGATCATTTTTTAATTCTAAATCTTGGGATTTTTATTACTAAGCAGTTAATTTGCTGCAAGATAGATGGTAAAATGTCATATTAAATAAAATTATTACAATAGTGACATTTCTTTTTCACTTAAAAAAAAATAAATAAAATTTCTCATCAACCAAACCTGATGACCAGTTTGATTTTCGATGTAAGTAATGGCATAACTGTCACAGCTTGCATAAGATGATTTTCTGTTGCTAGGCAACCGGCCGTTGATACATTGCGCAGAAACTATTATGAGGATTTCATCTAAATGTTTATTTGTATACCAACCTGGTATAAGAAATGACCAGTCAATGTGAAGTAAACACAAACTGGTATCTGGTTTGCGATTTCGACGAGTGAACTACACGTTCATGCATGTGCAACATTTCCTTTCCTAATAGGCTTTAGCTTAAATGCTGTTACAGTAAACGAAGCTGATGAGTGTGGCAATAGTGACAACTGTACTACTGTAATAATCCTTTCTTAGGGAGATCACATTCTATGCTAATGCTTATTTGTAATCTAAAAATTTGGTCAAAGGTGGTCATATTAGTTAGGACAACAGGGTTGAGTATATTTTGATATATGTTCATTGTTTAAAAATAGTTTGGCTATAAAATGATAGATAATTATTAATATATTGTCTCTATTTTTAAGGTGAAAGACTGAAAACATCAGAATGCAAAATGAAGATTTCCAAACCAGTGGAAATGGAAAGCTGTAAAAGAAGTAATTTTGATTAAATAATATGTTTTTTCTTGCTATTTGTTCTTCTTTTTTATTATTTTTGATTTTTTCCGTATTTAATATAAAAATTGTTTTGTTTCAAGTAATATTGCACCAGAAGTCCATAAATTTTAAGTATGCACATAATTAAAATAGTTTGAAAATGTGATCTACTATTGTATACAGGAAGAACTGGATTGTATAAGCTAAGAAAACTTCAGTAACAGTGGCTAGGTACTGCAATCTATACTTTTTATACATAAATATAGAGCAGTCAGGTTCATATTGATTAAAAATGAATTTTACATGAGAATAAAACACTTCAAAACTTTGCTGCAGGTACACTTGTGTGCCATCAAGTGCAGGAAAATGCAGCTCAAGTCATATAGCATAGAAAGTGTTAATTTAAGAGGTAAATGTCGATCAGTGTGGAAACTTTCAAAGAAATCTTATTCATAGGTTGAAGAATATTCTTGACAATTTTTTAAAAAGCTAAAGTTAAAAGAATGGTTAATGAAACATAATGGTCGAGAATACCGACTAATTTGTCAATAGAAATTTTTTCGTTTTCGGAAGCAAATTATAATGACGAGGAACTTGATTTAAATCATATCAAAGACAAAGTACATCAAGATGAAATACTACATTTAGTAAGGAATTATAAGCCAAATAAAATAAAAACATCTGCCCTGAAGATAAGGATAGTGCTGACAGATCAACTTCCAATTCATTGCGTGCCTCGGCGTCCCCCCCCCACGCCGCAGAGCAGCGTGATATTGATAAACAGATTTCGGATTTCGAAACATACTTTCGCTTCGTAGATCCTTTACACATTAGTTAATATATATCGGAAATTCTATTTCACATAATCAAAAGTTCAAGCTTACTTTTATAAAATTGCTCTAACAGTCTGCAAAATATAATAAGGCGGATCCAATTCGAAGATTAAGGAACAACGCAATCTGCAACATTAACTGAATTAGATAATTTTAGCTTAGCTTATACCATCTTTTATACATTAAACGCGCATGCATAAACGTATTATGCGCATGCGCACGCATATATTTTGCAGCCGTAAAGGTCTTAATGTCGCGTTGACATCGCATTGACGCATGTGTAAATGCCAGCACGACGCATGCACAGAAAGTTTGTACCTTTAAGATCCGGATTATAGATCATTCTGGATTATGGGTGTCCGAATTAACGACTTTTGACTGTATACATATATGTATGTGGGTTCTTTTTTTGGCAATCACAATTCATGTTCTGACAAAACACATTTAATGAAACATTGTTTCATAAGAATAAATTGAATTTAAATAAATTTAATTTAAATACAAAATTTAATTAATTCTTTGCGGCATTGCTGAAAGGAATTAAATTTTAATTTAAACAAATTTTAACAATCATGTATATACGTAAAAAAGCAAATTTAAAGTTAAAATAATTTAAAAATGTGCAAACATATAAAAGATTTAATTTTCGAACTCATCTACAATATCATTTAAATTCAGGTAGCATAAGTAAATCAAGTGCAAAACCAAACCATGAAAATAAATTCACCAATTTAGCAAATTAAAATTAATCTAAAAATTTTTTTTTTTTTTTTAAATGCATAAGTGAATGACTGTTGAGCAGGCAGGAGACAGACTTATCAAGGAGAAGTTGCCTCCAAACCTAACTCTGCAATCATTCAATTCGTGTTTCGTCATTCATGCAGGCAAGGGTAAAAGTCAAAACCAAAAGTAAAGAGTGAAGAATGTCCAAAAAGAAATACCAATAAAGTGGTACCTTTAGAAATTAGCAATTAAAAATTAAAGTTCTAAAAGGAAAATACCAATGAAGTTTTTTGAGAAATAAGCAATGTAAAGTCAAGTATTAAATGTAAAGTATTTAATTAAAAAAAAAATTAAAAAATGAATTTTTCAGAAAAATTAATTTAGAAACCAATGCATTTTAGAAACCCTTGTCTACAGATACCTCCCTGACAGGAATATGCATTTGTTTGTTGACTCGGATTAGGAATACATATCAATAAAAAGAAACTAAAAAGGAACTAGACATAATTTATATAAACCAGTAAGAAACAAAAAGAAATAATTCATAATTTTTAATTTAAAAAAATATATAATTTCATATCTAGAATATACTTAAATACTACATAAAAGATATTTAAATACTTAAAGCAAGTAAATAGTAAGTTTTAATTCTAACTTACCTACTATATTAGCGTTGGGATCTGCAAAAGTATTTCCAAAGTGATGTAAGTGTGTTCTTCAAATTATATAAATGGCGCTTATGGAAGTAAAGTTGAATGCCAAGCTGCTATTTTTGTTTTATTAAAAATTTTTGGCAAACTTTAATATTAAAATATTTAAAGATAAATCTAGAAAAAATTAAATATCCTAAAAGTATGTAATTCAAGTTTTAATTTTAACTGATCAACTATTTATGGTAGGGAGTTAAGTAGCTTAGCCAATCAAGAGATGTAAGTTTGCTTTGCAAATATCATAAAAAGAGTACTAATTGAAGTAAAGTAGGCTTAAGTGGTTATTGTGAATTAATAAATGTAAACTGTTTGTAATGTGAAGTGTGTGTTCTGTTGTAAAATTGTGTAAATAGTGCAAATAATATTAAGTGAAATTTTTTTTTTTTTTGTGAAAATTGCAAATAATTAAAAACTAATTAAGTAAAACTGAAATGTTTTACAATTTTTTTAAAAAAGTTTTAAAGTAAAATTTAAAAGTCTTAGAATGTCTTAAAAAATTCTTAACAAAAATTTTCCAAAATTTTTTAAGTAACAATTTTTTGAAATGAATTCATTAAAAACCTCTAAAAAAATTTCCAGGAATTTCCTAGAAATTTCTCAGAAATCTCCCAAAAATTCCTTAAAAAAGTTAATTAAAAGTTATATTTAATGAAAGAAAATATTGAAAGTTTAATGAACTTGATTTCAACTGGTATATCAAAACTTAACTTAATACTGGTTAAAGCATGGACAATTAGAAGAAGAAGATTAAAGTCTTCACTCAATTCGGGCTATAATTGAGACTTTTGTAAAGAGTTGGCCCTTTATTAGTAAAAGGAAAGAATCCAGTATTGATTAAATATAGATATTTACAAATTTATTTACAATAAAAATTTACAAGATAATTTCTTTACTCTTCTATGTCCTCCATTACCCTCCAGCTAAGGTTTAAGGTAATGTTATCATACCAAAAAGAGCTAAAAAATTATAAAGGTTAATGCCTGCCTTTTTAATATATAAATTAATAAATTTTGGTGGTACTTGGTTATCAACTTGAACATTAATTAGCTTTATTATTTCTTCCTTTAAATCTTTTATTTCAGTACATATATTTTTTATTCTGATTATTTGGCTATGAAACATGTTTTCTATTACTTTTCTAGAGATATTAGAGTTCCAATTAATTAGCTTAATAGTATGAAAATGGAAATTCCTTCTTTTATCGGCCCACCAGCGGCCGAGCGGTAAAGTCGCTGAACACTGGTAGTTCGGTCCGAGGTTCGAATCGCGCGAACCGGCTGGCTGCATGGGCGTTTCGTGGTTTTCCCCATTTGTAACGTGTATACGAGCCAGTTTCCCTTAGAAAGTCCTCCACGAAAGGCATCCCTCCCCTTAGGCAGATAGCCCTAGTGTGCTTTGCCATAATTAAGTAAACCAAACCAAACCAAACCTTCTTTTATCATATAATTTAATTTTGCTGTGTTTAATAATTAGGAGGTCTAGGTATTCAATAGTATCTTGATTCATATTCGTTTTATTAAGTGTTGAACTATTTGGGTAAATTTTGAATTGCTCAAAAGCAGAATTATTATTGAAAGTTATAATATCATCTATGTATCTAAATAACATAATCTATGTATATAACAATTATAGTTGGATTATTTATAATAATGCTCCAGATCTCAAAAAATTTAAAAGTTTAAAAATCAAGAAGATTAACTGCTAAACCTTTATACCTCTCTACCATTAAAAGAAATTTTTACTAGTTTAATACAACTCCAACTTTTCCTGACATACTTGACATCCTTTGTATTGAAAAATGGAATACTTATCTGAATTGTGCATTATTTAATAACTACATTAAATAAGATCTTTCAGCAAGTGAGAGGAATTCCTATGGGAGCAAACAGTTCTACGCAAATTTGTAGCCTATTTCTTTTTACTTATGAATATAAATTCCAACTAAGTTCAAATAAGAATGAATTAAAGCTATTTGCACATACATTTAGATACATAGATGATATTATAACTTTCAATAATAATTCTGCTTTTGAGCAATTCAAAATTTACCCAAATAGTTTAACATTTAATAAAACGAATACGAATCAAGATACTATTGAATACCTAGACCTGCTAATTATTAAACACAGCAAAATTAAATTATATGATAAAAGAAGGAATTTCCATTTTCAGACTATTAAGCTAATTAATTGGAACTCTAATATCTCTAGAAAAGTAATACAGTCAAAAGTTGTTAATCCGGACTCGTCGGGACTTCGGCGATTCTGGATTATCGATTTTTCCGGATTATAGATCATCAGTTTAAATCTGGTAAGATGGCATGCAGAAATTACAAAATTAAAAATATGAAACCGTAATTTATGAAATAAAGAACAATTATGATCTAAAGGGTATCAAAATTTACAAAAAAAAAAAAAAAGCTTAATATTTATTTGTTTACTTTATTAAACATTTCTTTCAATGTAAGTTGTTTAAGTTGCTTCGTTTCATGTGATAATACTTTCTCTTTAATTCTATTAAACAGACATAATTTCTTGTTTAGTTACAAAGTTCCGCTGTTCAAGTCCTACAATTGCTGTGTTGAGAATACCGACTAATTTGTCAATCGAAATGTTTTCGTTTTCAATAACCTCTGGGTCACTTTCTTCACTATCGGAAGCGAATTATAAATTATAATGACTAATGACGAGGAACTTGATTTAAATCATATCAAAGACAGAGTATATCGAGATGA